CATATTCCTTCCACCGTTGCATATACATACATTCACAAGCGGCTAACTCTGCGTAACACGTCGAAATGCTTGACCTGATGATCGATGATCATAAAAAAATACGGGTTACATGTTCATAAAACCCGCGGGGATCAAAGGAGCTGCAATATGCGAAAACGGCTGAAAAATCGACTGCCAGTATAATCACGCTGGCGAGCTCGTGTAGGCACGCATGGAAATTGCGCATGCCGAAGTCTTTGAAGTACCTAGCCGGGCTGGCTCACTGGTCGGCTATCATCGTCGTTTTATTCTCGAACGAGGCAAATAGCGAAAAATTGCAACGGCGGAAGCCGCACGAGCGGATACGTAAAATGCATTGAGTCAGATAGCATTCGCAACGTCGAGGATAATATCGCTTTGTCCTTATACGTTAACAACTGGATTGTGAGTTGTCGAATATGAGAATATGAACCGTACGCAACAGCGTTTTTCGCGTCCGCAACAGCGGACTTATCAGTCGCGATTGTTTTTGACGTAAAGCAATCTCGAGATATACATTGAAATTATGGTACAATTAATTTAGCCATGTATTTTTAGATACTCAATTACTGCACGTTCTCTGTCGTGTTCTTACAATTTTTCTTTTTCTTTTTTTTTAAAACACACTTTCTAATGGACTCGCCTTGCGAAGACTTTTTTTGGCACGGCACTTTTGTATCGGCACTTGATTAAACACTCGTAATCAAATAGAGCGTGCAATTCACTCTCGGGAATTTACATAATCATTTCTGGAAGCTGCACGAGTCGAGTCGCGGCGCAAAAATTTATACGGACCCGGTGAGCCAACAGTGAAATAATGTGAGGGAACTTTCCCCGACGAGAAAGGGAGAAAGAGGGAAACAGAAAGATGGAGAGAGGGGAGAACGCCTCCCCGAGAGACGCGCAATGCCGAAGTCTTCCCCGAATAGTAGACGATGCAAACAACTTTGGCGAACGATAAAAATATGCCGGATAAAGTTTCGCGTTTGCAATTCTTGGTGCGCATTCGGCGAGAAACTGGCTCTGACCTATTATAGATTCAGGACCCAATCAAGGACGGGTAAACAAGGGGAGGGATTGCTTCGCGCCCTGTTTGTAGTCTTACTCGAGACAATAGAGGAGCAATTGCCGGCTTATCCAATAATGAAGGCTTCGGTATTGCGCTTTTGCGAAGTCTGCTGGATATTTATAGGCGACAGAGCGATCATTAATCTTCTACGCTGGGCTTAAGTAATCACCCGATTTTCTCATTGTCGCTCTTCTCTCTCTCTCTCTCTTTCTCTCTCCCCTTTTTTTTAAAAAAAATTTCTTGAAATTTTATTTTCATTCTCTATCAATCAGTTAAATATTGATCAAGTTTTTGCTTTTAGTCGATGCTCAATCAAATTGTGTCAACGTCGATTTTAAAATATTTAACGACGACGAAAAATAGATCATCAAGAGACGCAATAAAACGCAGTCACGAGCGATGAGATCAATTATGAGAACCGATATCGTTATTCTGCTGCACTGCACGCAACTCTCGAGTATCGTTTGATATCTTTCAAAGGATATCTCGAGAAAACGAAGAAGAGATAGATGAACGTTCTCGGACGCACAATGGCCGGAACGAGACTTGTTTCTCGTTCCGTTTAAGTAAACCTTCTGGCGTTCGTCGGAAACTGGGCTGCTGCATTTTTCCTCGGAATACTTCGAACGGGTGCATAAACATAAGGCCTCGCGCTCTGAACAATAAATTTTGTTTCCGAACCGTGTTTACCTGCGGATCTGCAATTCATGCGTCGCCAGTCGTGTGCAGTCGTTGTGCCAACGCGGTTTTGTATAAAGAGAAGACGAAACCGCACGTCGCGCGTTGCATTCATGAAATCAAAAAGCGTAGCGAGCAACATTCGAATGATTGAATGAATTCGTATTTATTTTCTTCGAGAGTATTTTATCTAAAAATTGAGACTATGCTTATCATAATAATTAAATTAGCAGTAAAAAAAATGTAACAAATTCTACTAAATTATATATAGTTCTTCTACAATAATTTCTATTCTCCGTATTATATTCGCGAAAGCTTGACTGAAAGAAACGAAGTTAAAGATAACGTGCAATAATTCTATCCTGTACCTTTCAAAATTTTATTTTCTACACGTGTACATGGAAGAAGCATAAGAGGGAAGCGCAAAGACGCGACGGAACTTTGCCTTTCTATGCAATCGCAGCCACTTACGATTGTGATGCGACGCATTCTGAATCGCAAGGGTGAATCCGAGCTTGGAAGCGCATTCCTCATCGCGTCACGCGGGCGCGCGATTGCGACGCATCGCGCCGCGGCGCCGCCGCGAGGGATGTATCCCGAGCCGGATGACGCTCGTAGTCGGCCGGCTATTCGTTTTCGCGCACTTCCACTTCCGCAAAAAGCCACCGCGCGGCTGACACCGCCGGCCGAGCGCGATAAATTACCGCGGGGACAACGGGCCGCGAGCGTTCTCCGTGAATTTCTCTTATCGCAACGCACGTGACCGAGTTTGCCCGTAACATCGGTATATCTCGAAAATCCGGTCTTCTAAGAGAGAGAGAGAGAGAGAGAGAGAGAGGAGAAATAAGAGCCGTTGTGAAAATTCGCAACACCCTCGCAATACTTTTCGTCTAGAGAAACTTTACTTAGTATCAGATAGAAACTATCGACGCTTCTCCACCGATAACTGGATTTTTAACGTCAATACTTTATCTTTGCTATTAGTTGAGTGTCGATATCGTTATTATTCTAATAAAATTGGTCATCCATCAATAATAATCAATAAAAATGTTTATTTTTATTCGTCAACACATATCACTCACCGACTTGTTAAGAGATTTAAATAACACTCTGTCAACATGATAAAAATAATAAAGTCTCTATTTTTGGTCCATCAATCGTGCAACGTTTTAAAAGTATTTTTGAGAAATTTGGCGCGTTATGTCAAATGTTGCAGCGGCGAATTAAATTTTCGGCACGCAGTGATCGTAAATGTCTTGATATTTTCAGAAGAGAAACGAGAGACAAATTAAAGAAAAAAAAAGATGGAACCAAAATAAGAGGGAGAACTCATTTAAAATTTTCCCTTTCTCTGCACCAGAACCGCACGTGTACGAGGGTTTATTTTATCGCTCATATATAATATACAAATATTGCGTATGCACACATTCAGCTACAGAAATAATCGATTAATTGTAACATTTGTTACTCCCGAAACTTCTGCTGATACCGCGTGTAAATCCACTTAACCTCCTGGCTATTTCGTTTGCGTCAAATTTTGCGTCAAAACATTTTCGCGATGTGTACCGTTTTTTTTCCATTCCTTTTTTTTTAGCTTGGCATCAGTAATTCAATATCCCGCGATTTGATCCTCGCTGCCGCGATTTAATGTAGGTATTGCGCAGATATTTTCAACAGCACCGCATGTTCGAGTCGATCACCTATCGTGTGGCCGGCTGAATTTATTAGTGTCGTTTATTAGAGAGAAATTACGCGGTCGCGTTACGGTGAATGAATTAAAACGTTTCTGCCCGGCCGCGCGGGCGAAAGTGCAACGCGCGAAATTATCTTATCTAGGTCGACCAGGCTGTGAGCGATGGATGGATAATTATTATCAGCCGTGTCTCTCTCGATGAGCCGCGCGCGCGGATTTTTCACGCGAATTTCCGAGCGAGACTGGGGGCGGCTCTATGATTTATTCAAGATGATGAGCTGCCGCGCGCGGCACTGAACGATTTAAATGGCGAGATCGATGTTGCGAAGTTTCATATTCGAGCACGTGTCGTTTTCCGTAATGTTTTTAACGATTTTTCCAACGCCGCTTTCGCGGCGTTTACTCGAGCAGCGAGTAAATAACGGATATAATAGCTCGCGCAATAATGCCGGGCGAGCGGCGTGCTAAAGGCATAATTTACGATAAAAGTGCGATCACCGGTATCACCGTGAATATCGATTTTATAATGCAGAATGTGCCCGAGCGCTGCGGATGAATAGAATCCATCGGCGGTGTGGAGCGCGCGGGTAAATGAAAAAAGACTGCTTATTAAGAATTTATGCTGAATACTTTTTAGCCGCCTTTCAATTCAATATGTCTAATAATGAATATTAAAAAGCTTGGCGAGAATTAAATTTCCAGTCGTCAAATCGCCAGTGAATCTCTGCCGGGAAAGGATTGACTCCCAATGAATCTGTCAAATAATCTATTAAATGGAAAGGGGTCCATAACAATAAAATAATTCAGATGAATGATGAAAAAGGGATCTCTCTGTGGAGTAGTGGAATATCTCGATATCCGCGTATAATTCGCGAAGTAAGCGATTTGGATCTTACTCCTTGTTATACTTAAGAAAATCTCAAATATTTTATTGTATCTCGATTTCAAAGTTGGCTCGCATTCTATTTATTGCGAGGCGGCGTTCCTGGAAGATTCGAATCATTGTCCGCTGCACAAAAACAAATTGCGAGCGCGCGAGTACAATACGCTTGATTTAATTGCATACGTTAGCATCTCGTCTTGATCGCGATATTTTTACCCGGTCCGCAATTACGGCGGCCGCGGCGAGGAAAAATTACCGGCAAGAATGGGTAAAGAGCGGCCGCGGCGGAAACGTGGCGAATCGGCGAAGAGGAACGGATAATGACTCCGCGGATATCTGTGCGCGGTACCCCCCACGCGTACTGTAACTTTCTAAATTATTGCCGGCGATTTGTTCGCCTCCCGGACTCTCTCGCCCCGCGAGAGGATCCCCGTGCGGATTAATCGGTCGAAGTGTCGCGGATCAACGATTAATTATAGACGCTAAACCGAAGAGATATAGAGGGTCGTTTGAAAATTTGGGTCGTATCCCGAGAGCAAGCCGATTTGCGAGGAAGTCGCAATTTGACGCGATCGATTTGATTTATCTGAAAGATGTAGAGCGATGGAAGAGAATTCGCGAGAGAAGAATAACATCGATCGATTCGTTTTGATTTGCAGGCCTGCGACTGCCTGGGAGTCAGCAAGGAGTGCGATTACTTCGGGCTGAAGTACCAAAATGCGAAGGGCGAGGAGCTCTGGCTGAACCTGAGGAACCCCATAGAGCGGCAGACCGGCGGCGGCGTGGCGCCTCTAAGATTCGCTCTGAGGGTTAAGTTTTGGGTGCCGCCTCACCTGTTGCTGCAGGAAGCCACCAGGTAAGGAAAATTAATCCGCACCGCGCCATTGTTTGTTAAAAATATATACGTATTTGTCGCGACGGACCGAACAGAGGCCAGGATTCGATTAGGCGAGACAGGGTCCAGACGTTTTAATTCTCTAGAAACAATCCGTAAATATACCTTTAACGTAGGTACCTAAATAATTATAATTGGACTTATATAAAGCGTCAGAAATATTAATTTATCTGGTAGATAAACATCATTAAAAATTTCTCCAGGAACTCAGCCGGAATATTTTATCAAAACTCCTCTTATCCTCGATATACCTTCGTGTGATTTAACGCCGCAATAATTCAATAAAGCTTCTATTTCGCGTTTATCGACCTCCGTCTATAGACGAGGGTTTGAAAGGGATCTACATGTAATCTCGTAAACTCCCAAGGGACTCGCAATGTTCGTCGTCCCTTGGCAGCCGGGGAGATCGAGATGGACGGATAGTTTACACGCCCGACAGACAAGCAATCCCGCGCGATTGATTGGTCGCCGTCGATGTGATTTCAAGCAGAAGCTTATTTCGTGGGATTACCGCGCGACATTGTCTACAGTTAAATTTAGACGTCGATTCGATGATACGTAACGGGATCACGATAATCTCACAATACGCCTCTGTAATGCTCTTAATCCTTGGTAGAGCATCTCTTAATCCAAGTGTTTCGCCGTCTTTCTTTTCCTGCAATAAATTTCCAGTATCGGTAACTGGAAGTAGTTAGACCAATACCTCTTTGCTACCGTCGTCGCTTTAATTACGGGAAATTTGCATTGTCTTCGAGCCCGCTCTATACTGTCAGCCAAATCCCTTTACGCCCTTTATCGATCCTCGAACGTTTAATACGGGCAGCCGGTTTTAAAATTCAGTCGAAGTTTCACGTCGTAATGTCAGTAGCACGACCGCGAATTTCGTTAATTATACGCTACGAACGCAAACACGATGTTATACCTTCTGTGTATAGGTAATTTGTAATAATGTAAAGTGTGTAATGAATCCCCCACGAGGGTAAAACCCTCGTTCGCGGTTGTGTTTTAAAATCAGCGTATCCGACGCCGTAAACTGCGGAATGAGAAACTGCCTCCGGGAAATATATACGTCGCGGATGTTCGGCTGGGAAGCAGGAACTCGTTTTGTTTGAAGTTCTGATTGGCTCGTTACCGCGGCGCGACGCCGCGTATTCAAAGCGAGACTCGCCGCGAACTCTCCGTGGCAGTTGCGAATTGCATCCGTTGTAATCCGATGCGCGAGTGCACTCGTGCGAACGCAACAGCGGGAGGAAGAATAATGGAGATTTTTGTCCGAATTGAAAATCGTTTCTACCGTAAAAAAAAAGGAATCTCCTTTTCTGGGAAGGAGAACAAAAAAGTGAGAATGAGAGAAAAAAGAATAATAATGAAAGAAAGGGAAGGAGAGAGAGAGAAACGTGGCAAGAGATCGAAACAGATAAGGAGCGAGAGAGAGAGAGAGGGAGGAGAAATGTGCGAACGCTCGTGCAATCAGTCGGATTCCTTGAGCGCGATCCGCGCGATCCATCGATTCTCAAGCGAGCACGTACGAAATTGCATGCTGGCGTCGCCGTGGGAGTATACTGATTGCATCCGATACCCCGGCGTTGTCGGATATGCGTTTTCGGGCGCGAAGCGCCGGGCACGACCGCGCCCGGTGCGCTTCTCCGCGCGGCGTGAGACGCACGGTAAATAATGTTATGCACGACGTCGATGCGATTTATTTTGCATTATTCGCAGAGCGAATTTGTATCAGCGGCACCGCCGCGCCGCCCCGATACGTGACATTTCGCGACCGTGCCGCCGTATACAATCGCCGCGTCGCGAGATTGAATCGCGTCGGCGGAGAGCGGGAAAATATTTGGGGAGCTCTCTCGCGGAGCTTTCCCCGTCGTCGATTTCCGCCGAACGGATCACGTTCGGCGATGGGAAATTTTTTGACTGGAAGAATTTAATGAAAAAGAAGTTTGCGAGCAGGTGGACTTTAATTGCGATTTTCGCGAGTGGGAAAAACACGTTTATGTCGGAAAGGTATAGTTGTATCCGAATTTCGCTTCGGTACGTTTCTTCCTTTCACGATTAAGCTTCGGAAAGTGGCGACGTGCTCTCGTTCGCAACTCCTCAGAGCTTTTCGCGGCTTTCAGGGCAAAAAAATTCCCAACGCGACAGTCCGGCAACTATTCCCTCGCGCTCGTGCAGTGTCGAAAGTTTCCAGCGAATTCGACGCAATTAAACGTAGCCCGGGACGAGTTTGTAATTAGTAGCGGCACGCAGATTTCAACGGATCGAAACGTAATTTCAATTTAATCGCGGTCGCTCGAATTACCCCGCGCGGAGCTAAATGCGCGAAGAGTAATGCATCCGGCGTGCGAATTAATTCGTCACCGGTAACACGATTCTGTTGCTGTAATTACGCCAACTGGCGCAACGAATTTTCTCTCTCTCTCTCTCTCTCTCTCTCTCTGTCCAGCAATATGTAATCCTTTAGATTTACAGCGAATCCTTCTTCCTCTACGTACAATGTGGAAAAGACGTGATAGTTATGTCTAGGCAACCATTGCCAAATATTTTGGTTAAAAATAATATTCTCCAAACTTTAATTAATGAAATTAATTGTCAGACTTAGAAGAGTTTGTATAATATCTATAATACGTACTGTGAATCAATTAACATTGAACCTATTCAACTTTGACGTTATAAATTAATGATGATTTTAAATACCTACGTGACGTTTAATTTCTGTAACGTTCGAGCGTTAATAATTACGATATTTTAATTAATGCAGGCGAAACTTATAATGATAGACAAAGTACAAGAGGCGGAATATTACTTAATTAAGAAATCGCTTTTAAGTACACGCGAGCGGGATTTACGCCTGGCCCGATTACGCCTCGTCGAAAAAGCCGATTTCGCAAGCTTCTCTCGAAGCCTCTTAATCAACAGCGCTCACAGTCCCTTTCCGATGTGTGTCCTTTGACGTTGCCGTGTCGTCGACCGAATTAAATCCGACTCACCGAGAGGTTCACTTCTCGCGGGTTAACATTGCGCTCTCACAGATGCGATCGGCGGGTGAACTTTCCGGTACTGATCGGCATCGTCAATATGATCATTACTCAAGATGTAGACTATTTCAAGAGCCGAGTACGTCATCGATTATGTGGAAGTTTTTAGCTGGGGTGGCGAATTAGTTAATCTCTCAGAAACTCTTCCCGTAAGCGAATTAATCTCTAACAAAATTACGACATTATCACGTCGTGCTTATTTTCCAGCCGGGATATCTCGGAGGGTCGTGGGTATATATTCGGCGGTAAAATCCGGTGGAGTACGATACAAGGTCTGACAAGAGGGTTTGTCCCGGGGCTGCCACATAAGATACCACAGAATTAATCCCGACGTGTGGGTCAGAATTAATTGAGTTACACGTGCCGTGCCGTTCGTGCGGGGCTCTTTCCGAGAAAAGGAGTGAGAGAATGCGGTTAAAGTTTTGCAGATCCGACACGCTAATGGTATAGACGTATTTGATGTGTGGATGAATATTAATGTCCGGCCGAGCAGTGTCGAGTTGTAAGCGTTTACTTTTACGTCGTATTTCGCATTATTTTTACCTCGCAGTATTATTGTGTAATCGACAAGAAATTGATGACTAACGTGTTTAATCATTTATACTCGCCGAAATTAGTTGCTCGCGAATCTGTTTTCGTTCACTCGATCGATATTTCGGTAATTTCGCGTCACGTTAAACTCGTCTGGCGATATTTTTATTGACGACTGTCATTTCCTGCGGAAATGTAGAGGAAATTCGTAAAAACATAAAATAAAAAATTTGCGCAAAACGTTTTTGATTTTTTTTTTTATTCGAAAAACGCGAATGCTTCATCATCATATTTTATCATAGGATATAAATCACGTGGTATCACGTTAATTATTTGACGCCATCGACTTTGCGTGTGATTTATCGATTTGGATTTTTTTTTATCCGCTCACGCGGAAAAAAAACACAATTCTCCGATCACAAATTCGGACCTCTGTCCGACCGTGGAGGCTTCATACACGGTGCTTCGCGTTTGATTTATCGGCGATCTACATTTCGTTTGCAACGACGTCACGACTTTCCCGTCACACTCCGCCCGTAAATTTCGGGAAGATATACGGGCGCGAAGTGACACGCCTCGCCATTATCGCATCGCGGCGGTGATCGATGATTAAAAATACAGCGCGTTGGAATATGCTATATCCATATTTTACGACTAACGTCGTACGGGAGTGAAAATTAACGGACTGCGCAAATTAATTCCGTAATAATGATTCGTTGCAAAATTTCAATGAATGCGCCGCCGCCTGTGTGTTCGCCTGTCAGGTTTACCCCGTCGAGTTTATGCGCCACGGGATAGATTGAGGAGCGAAACTCCATCGCTTCGTTCTTATTAATTCGCATTGCGCTGCCGCATTAGCGAAATGTCGCCGGCAGGATCGTCTATCATACGTCGCGAACGGTGCGAGAGATCGCCGCGGCTCATTTCTTCCGACCGCGAAGTTGCGACGTTGATAAAGACAAAGTGTTTCCGTATCCGAGACGGTCGGAACTCACAGTTAATCTGCAGAATTACAACTGCGACTTCTCATAAGAATACCATAACGCGCGAGTCGTTCGTCATTTTGGTCGCGGCGCGATGATCCCGGGGATTTGAACAGGAAAAAGCGAAGGCCCGCGAGCTCCGAGGATTACGTCACTTTTAGCGCTCGTCGTTGAAACTACGTTTCTAACAAATTTGAATATTTAAGGAGAACGTGGCAATTTATGTGTTTGCCGTAAATATTACGAAAGGTTATGCAGGATTTTCTTGAGCAAGCTATTAAATTATTATTCGGTAAATTATTATTATTACTATTATTATTATTATATATTCGTGAATTATTACGTAAATACACATATTGAGAAATTACCAATTGTAAAGAATGAATGATAATTGCGATTGCTATTA